GCTGCAGCTAGCTGCTGCCAGCTGTGCTGCAGTGCCGGCCGTCCAAGGGGACCCCCACCTTAGCCAGCTAGCTGGCTAGCTAGCTAGCTAGCTAGCCAGCTAGCTAGCCCTTCGAATGGGTACCTGTTGGGTTGCGCACTTCAACCGAGACAAAAATGCCATAGCTAGCTAGTCAGCTAGGTATATCAGCAGCTAGCTGGCTAGCCAGGTAGCTAGGCCAGTAGCTAGCTGGCTAGCTAGCTAGCTAGCTAGCTAGCTAGCTAGGGTAGGACCTGGCTGGCTAGCCAAGAGGATGGTGAAGCGAGAAGCGCACGCGTCTAAACGATTTCCCTGATAGCTAGCTAGCGAGCTAGCTAGCGAACTAGCTAGCTAGCTAGCTAGCTAGCTAGCTGGCTGGCTGGCTGACTGGCCAGCTAGCTGGCTATCTAGCTAGCGAGCTAGCTAGCTGAATAGCTAGCCAGCTAGACAGCTAGCCAGCGCGGCCTGCAGGCCTAGTGGCTGCGTTTCTTCTTGTGGCTCCTAAAGACAAAAGAACAGCAACAGCAAAACAGCAGGAAGATAAGAAGTAGCAGCAGCAGCAGCAGCAGCAGGAGCAGCAGAAGCAGCAGGAGCAGCAGCAGAAGCAGCAGCAGCAGCATCAGCAGCAGCAAGAGCAGCAGCAGGAGCAGCAGCAGCCACAGCAGCAACAGCACAAGCATCACTAGTAGCAGCGAGAGCGGGCCCAGAGCAGAGAGGGCTGCAGCAAGAGGGGGCAGCAAGAGCGGTAACAGCAGCAGCAACAGCAGCAGCAACAGCAGCATCAACAGCAGCATCAACAGCAGCATCAACAGCAGCAGCAACAGCAGCAGCAGAAGCAAGGCCAGCTGCTTACTTGTGTTTGCTCTTTTTCTCTTTTCTCCTTTTGGATTTCTTCTTCTTCTTCTTGCGGCGCTCATCTTCATCATCGCTGCTGCTGCTGCTGCTGCTGCTGCTGCTGCTGCTTCTTCTCCTTTTCACAGGGGCCCTCTGGGGGCCCTCATCGTCGCTGCCGATGCCCAGCGCCCGCCGCAGCCGCTGCAGCAAATCAAAATATGAAGTTTATTTATTTATTTATTTATTTATTTATTTATTTATTTATTTTATTTGTTTATTTATCGAGATTCCGCTTATCGTTGGCTTAAACTCGCCACCGCGTGGGCAGGCGCAGCACGCAGCAGCACGCCTCTGCTGCTGCTGCTGCTGCTGTTGCTGCTGCTGTTGCTCCTGCTGCTGCTGCTGCTGCTGCAACTACCTCCCCCACAGCTGCTCCTGCGTCTACCCTGCTGCTGCTGCTGCTGCTGCTGCGACTCCCCGTGTGCCTCCCCTGCGCCTGCTGCTGCCGCCGCTGCTGCCCCGACCCCTGCCCCTGCCCCTGCCCCTGAAACTGCTGCTGCTGCTGCTGCAGCTGCTGCTGCTGCTGCTGCTGACCTCGTCGTCTTCTTCTTCTTCTTTTTGCTTCAGGGCGGCGCTGAGGGCCCGAGTCTTTTCTTCCTCAGCAAAGCGGAAGTCGTTGCGGCACTGAAAGGCCAAGTGCCCCACTGCAGCAGCAGCAGCAGCAGCAGCAGCAGCAGCAGCAAATATTTATTCTAATTAATTCACCTACTTGTTGTTAATTTAATTAATTAATTCAAATATAGAAGCAGCTAGCTAGATACAGCCCAGGCCAAACGCGCCGCTGCAGCTGCAGCTAGCTGCAGCCAGCTGCTGCAGCTGCAGCTAGCTACAGCTAGCTGCCGTGGGAAGCAGCAGCCAGCTAGCTAGCTAGCTAGACGCAGCTAGCTGGCTAGCTGCAGCCAGCAGCTAGCCAGCTAGCAAACTGCGCCTAGCTGGCCAGCCGCACCTAGCTGGCTAGCTGCAGCAGAACTAGCTAGCTGACTAGCTGCACCTAGATAGCTAGCTAGCTGGCTAGCTAGCTAGCCAGCCAGCTAGCTAGCTAGCTAGCTAGCTAGCTGGCGCACCTTGGTTGCACTTGGTGCAGGCCCCGGGGGTGTGGGTGCTGAGGGTGCCGGTGAGTCTGGCGAGAGTGAGGAGCTCTTTGGCCTTGTCCTTGAGGGGGTCTTCCGCGCTGCTGCTGCTGCTGCTGCTGCTGCTGCTGCTGCTGCTGGGGGCGTACGGGTCGTAGCCCACGCTGTCCGTCCAAATTGCATGCGTCCGCAGGGAAGCAGAAACAGCCACGCGGTTGCTCTGGGGCATCCGCACCCACCCCGCCGTCGCCGGCATTTTCAAACCCTAAACCCTAAACCCTAAACCCTAAACCCTAAACCCTAGACGCTCGGGAGCCCCCCGGCGCCCTCGAGAACGCAGACCCGCAGGACGGCCCCCGTGAGGAGGAACGCTGGCGAGAGGAAGCTGCTGCTGAAAGAGAGAAAGCGCTGCTGCTGCTGCTGCTGCGGCTGCTGCTGTTGCTGCTGCTGCTGCGGCGGCGGCGGTGGCTGCAGCAGCTAGTTCTCCTGCTTCCGCTGCTTTGAAAGTCTTGGCTGCTTGGAAAGCACAAAAAAGTAAAACTGAAAGAAAGAGCTCTTGGCTGCAGCGGCGTTTTGACGGATCTTGGGGTGTACATACACTTCAGCAGCCGGGGCGGCTGCTGCAGCGAGCTGCTGCTGCAGCAGAAGCAGCCAGTTGCTGATTAAGCATAAAAAGGGGTTAAATCTACAAAAAAGAAACAACTAAAAGGGTTGAGAAGCAAACAACAGGTCGAATAAGTGCCTGCTGCCTGCATCTCGCTGCTGCTGCTGCTGCATGCAGCCCCAAACCCCGCGGCCTTTCTTCGCTTTTTCAGACAAAAAAGCCCTTTTTATCCTCCTATGAAGCTTAAATTTCATTTAATTATTATTAAATTCATTTTATTTCCATTTTTTAATTTCCTTCTGCCTTCTTCGCGCGCGAAGGCGGGCCCACAGTTGCGCTGGCTCTGGGGTGTACATACACCTCAGCTGCCTTCGCTGCTTTTTCGTTTTTCTCTTTTCTTCAAAAATACAAAAACACCAAATTGCATCTTTGTGAACTAGTTGCAGCTGCAGCTAGCTGCAGCTAGCTAGCTGTGGCTAGCTGCAGTTAGCTAGCTGTGGCCAGCTGCAGCTAGCTAGCTGTGGCTAGCTGCAGCCAGCTAGCTGTGGCTAGCTGCAGCTAGCTAGCTGTGGCTAGCTGCAGCTAGCCACAGCTAGCCAGGGGCAGCCAGAGAGAACAA